ATCAAGGACAACCCAATGATGCCTGTTGTCTATAACCACCGGATCAAGGTTGATGTTGATACAGCAGGTCAGATCTCACTGCTGTGTTCAAAAATGTGAATGTGGTTATTTGAATTTAGGTACAAATTTAAATTGTACAGCATCGTTCAGCATGATGCAGCAATGCCTGTTGTTCAGTGTCACACAGTATTAATACATGCACCTCTTTGTAGACACTGGAAACTGTGAAATACATTTTTTAAATGCATATTTTATACATGTAAACGTCCCTGACTGTCATCTTTTATAATTGTGTGTTTCAGATAAGGAAGAGTGGATCAGTACAGGTCTCTACCTCTCTCCTGGTATGAAGACCTACATCGCTATACCACCTCAGATTGTCAAAAAGAATTGGAAGGTAGAGCATATGAAGTCAATTGATTTTGAGTTCACTCAGAATGTTGCAACTTTGTTACCTAAAGATAGCAAGGTGCCAGAAACTGAAAAATTCCAGACACAAAACTTGTCTCTGGTGAATAGATACTGTAAGCTGTTTCAGGCCATTTAGTTGTTTAAACACAGAGCAGTCATTGCAATTTTTAGTTATTCCTTTTTACAGTGTTGCACACTTTGTGGTATTGCTTATATTATTATATTTTTGCTTGTATTATTGCTTATAATGCATTTTCCTTTTCTTCTGCAGATTCAGATAGGATGTCAAACTGATTCTCTGCACAAGAACGATGTCCTGAAGAGACCACCGTCTGTCCATGAGCGATTTCCTGTCACCTCAGAGATGATACAAGTCTGGAACCTTTGGGGAGGACTCATCTACCTGGTGGCCCCACCCAAAACACAAGTGAAGGGGTTGGAGGTCACAGCACAGATGGCTGTACCTGCTCCATATTATAAGACTGGTGAGTCTGCGGTAGATTGAACTTTAATATGTGTTTGCACTAGTGTGTACCTTTGTTTGTACTGGTCTAATAGACTATTTTTTAAACAGTCTATAATTTGAAGGGCTGAGGGCAGCATCTCCCAGGTAATAATCCAAAGCAATTTAATAGATCCACTACTCTCTGTTCTTTTCAGGTGTAACAACTGCAGCTGAGTGGTCGTCGCTGCGCACAGCTCCTTCACCCTGGGCAGAGTTGGAGTTTGAAAACATCATCCTCACCGTACCATCAGATGCTGTTCGAGGTCTGGAGCGCCCTGACAAGGTGGCTGCTCTGTGGGATGAAATCATGAGGGCCATTGCAGATCTGGCTGCCAAACCACACAAATTTCCCCGCAAGGAGCGCTTTGTGGCAGATGTGCAGAT